GGCCAGAGGAGAGCTATCTCCTAGGGCAGTGGTTCTCAATCTGTGGGTCGCGACCCCTCTGGGGGGTCAAATGATGCTTTCACAGGGGTCACCCAATTCATAACAGTAGCAAAAGTACAGTTATTAAGTAGCAATGAAAACAATTTTATGGTTTGGGGGGGAGGGGTCACCACAACATGAGGAACTGTATTACAGGGTCGCGGCATTAGGGAGGTTGAGAACCACTGTCCTAGGGTTTGCAAGCTATGAATCTTCATGGCAGCAGACTGCCACTGAGTGGCTTGGTAGTAGAGGATCCCTTAACCACCATGCCACCAGGGACCCTGGTTTTTAAGGAAGAATCAAAACGCAATCTCCAGAGAACTTCCGGGAGGCTCATGGGAAATGAAATGCCGAATGCGAACACAGTAAAAGACCCTCTTCTTACCATGACCATCCCTCCCGAATTGACGACGTTGCCCGCCACTGGCAGTGTTACAGTGACAGTCCCTTGCCCGCTACTGGTTGTGTTGGTGTTGGCTCCTGTCTGAACAATCTGGGCTCCTGCCAGGCTGGCCGCTGGGATGGTGATCATGCCTGAAACAGGGACTGTAACTTTAAGAAAATAAAACATAAAACAAACAAAAACAGGCACACAGAAAGAAGGGAGCACAGTTAGTCCCTCTTCTACCTGGCACACACTCATGCACTCTGAAAACCAGCGCCCTCAAAAGCAACAGGAGAAAAAAGGCACTTTCTCCTGCACTGCCTCATGTGCCGGGTCCCAGCCCAGCACCATCTCTGTGTACACATGCCAGCTCTCTGGGCATTCCATTCAGTCTCACAGTGACACAAGGAGTTTGGAGGCTTCCCTCTATACTCATGGTGCTTGTGCGAATGAATACTCTGCTCAGAGCGCTGATTTTGAAAAAAAATTGTGTGTTCCAAAATGATGATGAGACTTTCAGTTGCATGACTGAAAATTACAATCAAGTCAAGCATTCCAAATCACCAGGCTACCAATAGATGGTGTAAGTTACCCAAAAATACTAGGATCGCATTTAAAAATTCCTAAGCAGCACCTGATTGTTGGAACTCCCCATTCTGTTGGAGATCCTCCTTTGGCTCAGTCTGTTTCCGGATGAGTGGTTCGAGCACACGCAGTTACTGTAACGTCTGGAGCTTGTAAACTGCAAACACTTGTAGCTCCAACGTAGTTGTAGAACCTAACTAACATGTGAGCTCTTTGATAAATGTCCCTCAAATCCCTCAAGTCCAGCTTGAGGATGTCTGTACTTCTACAGGCAGTTTTCTCTGTTCCCAGTTCATGTAGATTCCCATCCGGTTTCTAGAACACAGGAGCTCTCCATAATATGTATCTGTTCACACGTATGCATCCCGCGTCAGAGTTCTGGCTTTTTGATGACAGTACATTTCTTTCTTAATAAAGTGCTGTGTGCATTAAAACACAACAAACTGTACAGCAACGCTATAGGACCATGTGTAACTGCAGGCTTTCTAAGGATCTCGTCTCCATGAAAGCAGACCACCACAACTTTCCCCAAAGGAGTGGGTAGTGGGTTTGAAGCCCGGACCCTGCAGTTAAGAGTCTAACGCTTAACCCAACGTCCGCAGTAGCCAGAGAGGTCTTTTGGGAATGCATGAGTAACGAGCAGCCTAGTGAGTGGTAGAAATAGGCGGCAATAGCACTCTAAATGTCAATTTGATTTCCGATCCGTTTCTTCCTCAACCAATAAAGAAACATTTTATTTTTCAATCTTCTATTTAGAAATATTTCTCCCCATAGAGCACTAAAAGGTTACCCAATCAATGGGACCAGTCTTTTAACAACTATGGGAGGAAAAATTCCTACAAAATCAAAGTTGGTTATGTACTGGTGACAAGGAACCAACAAATCAATAGAAGCGCATAAGAAATCTTTTTTACTTTCAAAATATATCTTGGTTAGGAGTGTATTACTAAATCACCAAGGGAGGGAGTAGCTCAAGGCACAAAAAGAAGCCCGAGGAAGGCCACAGATATATACTTAAGGGTGCCTTACCTTGCTGAAGAATGGTGCCGTCTGCATTCACTGGCTGATAGACGATGGTCTGCCCTTCAGCAGTCTGTGCCACTTGCTGACCCTGGACAGCAATCTGCTGCTGTGTCTGCAGGAAATACATCACAGCACAATGCGGTAGATTCCGCAGACACCACAAAGAAAAGGACCAAGTGGCACTTGTATTTGTTTTTCAAGCCCAATCCTTTTGGAATGGTCTTCCTCCCCTTCTGCAGTCGTTGGTTCCTTGAGCAGATTGGCCCCAGAGGCGGTCATCTCCACGGCTGCTGGCCACATCTCTCTCCGGCAGAGCTGCTGCTGTGCTTGCAGTGCACACCCTTTCTTTGGTGAGCAGCCACATGCTCACCATGTACTGCCCAGGCTCCATGAAAATATTTGGTTCAGTGGTTTGACCCTTTCCGGTCCAAATCTGCAGTGCACCAGCGCTGACAGAGCTAGCGAGTTACCTGAGTTTGGCCAGCAGTGACAGCGGTCTGAGGCTGTTGGATGATGATCTGCTGGGTCTGGCCCTGCTGGCCCTGCACCTGCACAGCTTGGCCCCCCTGGATCTGGATCTGCCCTGGCGGGACCAACTGTATCTACAGAAGACAACACAAAGAACAATTGGAATTTAATGAAGCTTGTCTCTCTCAGTCTCTGGGTGGTGTTAGCACTCTAAATTCCTCTGAAAAACAGCATGCATCCTGAAGAGAGGGAAAGGGGGACCAGAAGTCCAAGCCTGCTCTAAACGTGTTTTCCACTCATAAAAGCAAGGAGGGAATTCTGGACATTGCATGATACGTGATGCTATTACGGAATCCGTGTCGGTTTTTTCAAGATATGATGTAAGAGACATATGGAAGTATATGAATTCAATAAAAGTACATTTTGAAGAGCTTTGATCAATGAAACGCTGTATTTACCTAAAACAATCCTGGGGGCGTACCGACTGTTTTAAAAAGGCTGCATGTCCCTAACTGCGGAAGCTGCATGATGAATACATGTGGGTTTCACGATCCTATTTCCTGTTGCTTTCATCTTTGAACTAACAAATGTTAGTTCCTGTCCAACTTTAAGAGGAAATTCTGTAGATTGGTTATATATGAAACCTTTAAACATACAGAAAGTTTATACTAGCTTATTAGACATCCATATAGCAATGATTCATATTTAATACATTAACCCAACAAAACTTGCTGCCATTCAGTTGATACCAACTCATAGTGACCCTATGTGAAAGGGTAAAACTGTCCTTGTGGGCTTCTGAGATGGTAAATCTTTTTTTATAAGAGTAAAAAGCCTTGTCTTTCTCTCCCTTGAAGCTGCTGGTGGTTTCGAACTGCTGACCTGGAGGATGACAGTCTAACTTGTAACCACCACACACCAGGGCTCCTTCACATGTTAACATCATACCACATTTCAATCACCTACCATTTCCCTTCCACCCCCAAAGTAATCACACTATGCTAAAAGTGGCAAGAATACAGAACAGATTTTTTTTAAGAGTACATCCACAAAAAATTACTGCTTTATGTTTTACATTGTATAAACAAAACCGTATTGTGTGTATGTATCTTTTTGTTCAATCAACATTGCTCTCAAGATAAAGCTAGTTGAAACAAAATTAACCCATTCTCATTTAGTTTTCTGGTTTGGTTGTAAGTTACAGAGCAAGTTAGTTTTCCATTTGACAGTATTCCTTGAGTTTTATGGATTTTCCCTACTGTCTCCTCCTCACCCCCACTGTCTTACTGGGGTCCCTCTGTCCATTCATCCTTCTTTCCTGCTTTTGGAGACCCCGCCCTGTGGTTGACCACTCTGTGGAGTAGTTTCCCGAGCACTACGTTCCCTTTAGGCCTCTCTGTTGTGTGGCTGGAATGTGATCAGGATGGGTTCAGAACCAGATTTACAGGGTGTATAAGGACCACAGCCTCAGGGGTTCCTTCAGTCTGTCAGACCAGTAAATCTGCTTTTTAAAATGCTTAATGATTTCATATTTTGCCAGCCTTTTGTGGATCTCATTTGCATTTCCATTATTAGCTAGTAAAATAAAGCCATGCCTACATGTTTATCTGGCTTTTAAAATCGACTTGGATCCTGGGCTGTGTGCTAACCTCAGCTAATCATCTTGCATAGCAAGGAGTGCTGTGCTGCTCCAGTCAGGCGTGTCAAAGCGCACCTATACACACTGCCCTAGAGCCTTTCCCTCCTCTATTCGCCACCTCTGCTCACGTGCCTATCTGGTTGTTAGTTTTGAACTAACACATACATTTCTGTTCTGAATATAGACCCAATGTGCTAAAATTATCTTCTCCAAACCTTTACCTTATTTATTACCTTTACTCATGCTACACTTTGTTTTTATTTCAAAGAAATCAAATCTCTTATGTGTTTTTTAAGTTTTAAGGAAATGCTTGAAAAAGGAGCTCATAGCTACTCATTGAATGGTGGTCCGGAACTACCACATATTTACTATTTTCATGCCTTCTTTGTTTTATTATGACTTGCACTAAATTGGAGGCCTGGTTCTGCCTTTGTGATAGAATGCTATTGAAAGTTTTGCCCTATCACCAACCCCCAGTGCTTATATATATAGTGTCCTGTCACTCAAAAGTTTAAGCTGTACAAATCAACAATTCTTGTATCACAGTAATGTTGTCAGCCTATATTTTTGTGGTTTCATTTCCTCAGCAGTGTTTTAAATTCTGTACCACTAGCTAGATTAATGTCACTATCCATGGAATTACCTTATGCCCCGGGGGGGATGATTGATATTATGCTCTAACATAAAATGACAATGTCTGTGAGACATACATAAATCATAGATACATATGACTGGATCTAGGGCTCACATTTAATTCTAGCCTCAATCTAGGAGCATTTATTTCTTAATGCTCACCCTCACTGAGATCACTGGAAGATATGGGTTGTGTTAGTCCGGGTAAGCCAGAGAAACAAATCCAGGGAGACTCCTAGGTGTATGAGAGTTTTATATCAAACTGTACATTAAGAAAACATCCCAGCCCAGTCCAGATCAAGTCCTTTATTCCGATATTCGCCCATATGTCCGACACCAATCTATAAAGTCCTCTTCAGACTCATGAAACACATGCAATGATGCTGAATGCAGGAAGATCACAGGCCAGTGGATGGAAAGTCTTGTGGATCCAGGGGCATTGTAAGCATCTCAGTTCTGGCAGGGGTCTGGGTCTCCACATGGCTTCTCCAGGTCCAGGGTTCTGGCTGCATCAGGGTAGGTCCATATGGCTTCTCCTCAGAGATGTCTCAAAGGGAGTCAGCCTTGTCAGTAGTCTCCAAGGAAGTGAGGGGAGTCTCTCCTGCCTCCAAGGAGGAAAATCTAGGAGTTGCCAGAATCCTCAGGAGAAGGCCATGTCCACACAGAGGCTTCACTGGCTAAGACCCAATTGACAGACTAGATTCTACCCCTTCACTCTTAATCCTCTCACGTACCAAATCGACACCAGATTATGTAACCATCACATGGGTGGTATAGTAAAAGTGTGGTATAAAAACTAGATTGGTGCCTAGCTATCACAAGGAACAGTTTCTGAGGTCTTAATAAATTGTTTTAAGATAAGTGAGGTATCAACTAAGCCGACATAGAAGAACCACACCAGCCTGTGACCCAAGGATTGTAAACAATACAATTCAAATCTGAAGGAGGGAACAGTATCAGAGCTTAAACTGTGAACACTTACTTGGTTTGCACAAGGCTACGATGACAATGGAAGCCCCAAATCCATTTACAGGGTTTACACGTGGATTAAATGGTCGACGAATCCCTTCTGACCATAGTCTGGGAATGTGAATAGGCGTTTGCAGAGTGCAGTGGAAATCAGATTACTACAGATGCAATCAGGTTAAAAACTAACACAGTTATGATTTGCCCTTTTGAACCATTCAAAATTTGCTCTAGCTTTTCATCCTTTTTCTGCTTTCTTTACAATGAGGTTTTTGTCTGTTTAGCTTTTAGGGGATTTAGTGGGGGAGTATGCTTTTCTGATTATGAAATCCAGGATAGGTGATAGAGAGACAGTGGCTGCATTGATGGTTTCTTGGATGATATGGCTGGGGAGGCTGGGGGAAATGGGAAATTGATAGCAATGAGTACAAGAAAGAAGAAAATTTTCTAAAGTTGATGTGGAGAAGATTGTACAACTCTTAAAGAGGACCCAACAACATAAAGCAAACTTCCTTACATATAAGTCCCAAAAGTCCCCAGTGTGCTTTTGGACACTGGGATCTTTAGTTCAGTCAGTAAGTAGTTTTGCATACAGTGTGAAGAAGGGATTAATTTTCTTTCTCTATTCTTAAACCACTGCTCCACTGATGTACCATTCATCATATACCATTGCTGAACTTCTCTGATTTCAATGCCTACTATTGTTAACCCACATTTCTTAAATCTAAATTTATATGCAAAATTTTGCAAGTATCTGAATATTTGTAATTTTTTTTAAAAAAAGACAGCATAAGGAATACTCTTCTAAAATGAACAGCCTGTTTATAGTCTACTATAGTCAAGTAAACAAACAGAACACCCATCCACAAGCAAAACCACAGAATGCAGAGCTAGAATGAACGCTTGAAATCCCAAAAGAAAACTGGCTATTCAATGACTGGGCCAAGATCAGAAAGCTGGTTAAAAGCCAGCCTGGAGAGTGCAAACAGGGTTACTTCACCCCCAACACTCCACCAGTCTCCATTCCGCAGCGCTGGTGAGGGGGTCCGGAAAGGAGGCAACAAGCAAGGTCAGAAGAGATAGCATGTGAATCCAAGGAAAGCACATGCGGAAAATATATTTAAATTCCCATACATTTATGTACAGAGATGTGGGAACTATTTTTAATCCTAACTGCAATTCTATCTTGGCCAAAAATGTCAAGAACCTTAAAAATGCTTTCACCCTTAGAGCAAGCAATCCCACTTCAATAAAATTGCCCTCAGAAAGAGTTCAAATGAACAGTAAAACTCATTCTAAAATATTTATAGTAACCCTACCTACAAAAGCAAAGCAAAGCAAAGCAAAACAAAACAAAACGAAGAACACACTATACATTCTGAGCCATTAAATTAACTAGCCATCCAATAGATTAAATGATAGCTAAGAAAAAAGGGCAAAGAAACTATATGCATGCTACAATTATGCCTTAAAGGTATGCACACAAATTGCATGAAAATATGCAAAAATTCAGTGTGATTTCGAAGCAGAATGATTGTGACCCATATTTTAAAATTTAATTTCCTCCAGAAAAACCAAAGACATGAATCTGATCAGTGCCCTTGTTAATATAAACACATAAATACAGAAAGTAGCTAACAGTTCTCTTCTACCTGGTACTTTTTAATTCTCAAAAGCATCTATGCCCATGGGAGGGATGTGAGAAGTACAAGTTGTTTTGTCTATTTATCATAAATATGGGAGTACAGAATACGTGTATCTTAGAAATTTATTTTTGACTGAAAAATACTTTAATATTAATCTGTATTATCCTCTTTCCCTGGTCAATAGTTCATACTTTTAAACAATGGCATAATACCTTCATAGAATGAGTATATTAGGATTCATTCTACTACTCCTGTAGGAAAGGGCACCAAAAAGTTTGTAACTGCTATGAGGCAATGTCTTCGTATGTGTCTCGCTACGTACTGTTTTCTTACTATAGAATACATGCCTTTCCAAAAGGATTTAAAAATTTGAAAACTAGAGGGCTTTTTTCTCTACTTTCATTCTCGTACGGAGTGTTCTTCATTTTTGCTAATCTGATGACAAAAACTTTCCAATTTTTAACGTTTGATAGTGCACATTGCTTCATAGTTGTATTCTGACTTTTAAGTGGCCACTGCAATGAGTTGTCAAGCCGAGTGGAGAAACAGGGTGCCTTGGGCGGGTCGGCTGGTGTCAGAATTAGGAAAGAAGGGCCAAGGGTCAAGGGAGCACGTCTGACCTCTGCCTCGGGCCGAGGTGAGTCTGATGCTCCTTCCCTGTGGTGGAGGCAGAGGTCAATGTCGCCCCTATGCCATTTGCACACATACCAATCACTGGGCTCAAACCGAGTCTTTCCTCTGTGTGACGGGCACTCCCATACGGCTGCACTGTTGTTGAGCTCAGCTGTCGTGGAGGCACACCTGACTCATGGGGACGCCATGGGTGCAGAGAAGAACTGCACTCTAAGGTTTTCAAGCTGTGACTTTTTAATTTTTTTTTTATTTTGAGGGCTCTTACAGCTCTTGTAACAATGCATACATCAATTTTATCAAGCACATTTGTGCATATGTTGCCTCCCCCATCCTGTGGCCCCTTGATTAATTATAAATTATTATTTTCATATCTTACAACGGACCGCTGTCTCCCTTCCCCCACGGTTTGTTGTTCATCCCCCTGGAGGGGGTGGGGTGTCGTTATGTGTCAATCATCACAATCGGCTCCCTCTTCCTTCCCTAAACTGCAACTTTTGAGAAGCAGACTACCAGGCCTTACTTCTTAGGTACCCCTGGAGGTGCTTGAAAGCCTAAGAGTTAATAGTACAGAACTTAACCATTTGTGTTACTCTGTGACAAAGGTACAAAATGAACTAAACAAATGAGGTAAAATTAAATATGACAGCAATCATTGCACCATTTTCAATAATCTATCATTTAAAACCTCTATTCTGACAATCTGCCTAAATGTGTTTTCTTTTTATATGGCTCACCTGTTGTAAACCCTGTGTCCCGGACACAGGTACTTGCATGATGGTTTGACCTTGCCCACCAGGAACAGCCTGGACCATGATGGGTTGGCCAGTTGATGTGATTAACTGTCCTCCACTGACTTGCACCATTAATGGCTGCCCCTGGACCTAGAATGTAAAAAAAAACAAAAAACAAGAACAGTGAAATAACGCAAAGACACAAGAAGGCTTTTATCAAAAGATAATGACTGGAATTATGCTGCTGCCTTCCTGGGGGAGGGGGGAGTTAAAGAGACATTCAGAAACTAGGTCTTAAAAACCCTCAAATGATCTATTTCAATAGCTACAACATTTGACATCTCTGATGAAATGTCACGTTAAATAATTTTTGGTCAGATAGGATGGACTACATGCCGTCTTTTAGAAAGTCTCAAAAGGCATAGATCACCAAATAGGCTACACAAATGATAAACACTCAAACATCCAGGCTGTTTGGCTTTTTACACAAGGAACTAGGACTGGTCTTTCGTGATGGCTGGAGAAGCAACTAGAGGGAAAATGATTGCGGTAATGGTGGTTACACAGATTCTAAATTAAGCTGAAAGGAATAAATAACTGTGCCCAGCAATGATGGCAGGAGGCTGGGTAGCAAGCAGCTGTAATAGCTTATGTCCCAGAGTCTCCTAAGTATAAATGACATGCATACATTTAGCCCTCTGCACACAGTCTGCGAATTCATTTGTTAATTTAAATAGCTCACTACCACAAAGTGACTTTAGATTTTCCTGCAGTTTCCCAGGTGGAATTCTTCATAACAGACCCTACAATATTAATCTGTTTTAGCTTCAACAAAAAACGATGTTAAATATTGAAAGCACACAGAATAATCAAGTGTGCCAATAAAATCTGCAACTTTCAAGTCCCTTTAAGTCAGTGGTTCTCAACCTGTGGGTCTCGACCCCTTTGGGGTCGAATGACCCTTTCACAGGGTCGTCCAATTCATAACAGTAGCAAAGTTAAAGTGATGAAGTAGCAACGGAAATAATTTCACGGCTGGGGGTCCCCACCACATGAGGAACTGTGTGAAATGGTGGCAGCATTAGGCTGAGAACCACTAAGTAAACAGACTACTCCGGAAGCCACAACATTCCCGGTGCTCTGTAACATCCAGAGCCCCAGTTTAAAACATGCCAAGGAGGCCAAAAAAGGAAACCACCCTAGAAATGCATTAAAATGATCGAGAAAAAAGGTCAACTGTCAGCCAACATGGATTTAGGACATAGCAGCTAATGAAAAGCTCCATCAGTCCTGGATGTACAGGTTACTTATATAGGCCACTCTCTTACCACCACCACCACCACCAATGGGTCAACGTCATCCAGAAACTCAAACCCAAGGTTTTATTAAACTGTCCCTTGGAGAAACTCCACTTGGCTTTTATGGATTTTATACAGCCAGATCTTATAAACTTCCTCCTTCACTTATTCCAAATCAAACACTCCCCTTGTTATACCAATGTCTACATATGCTATGAGTAAAGATTAAAAAAACCCCTTATTGCATAAATAACTAAAAGGACTATTTAAAATTCCCTAAAAATAATGAGACCCCTGGAGAAAAGATTTTCATTATTTCCATTTCTCTGAAGTCACATCTGTAAGTGGGAAAGACAAGTTTTAAGGCACATTAAATAAAGGATCATCTTCATTTCTCCCCTCGTTGGCATGCTACATGTGAGCCCACTGTGTTTACAATGTATGAATGGTCAATTACAAGGACACATGCACCAGACAGGAAGCCATTCGGTTAAGAGCTTGTTACATTCCCGTTCCAGAAGTGGTTAATGGCAGCCCCAAACCCTTTTTCACACGTCAATACGATGAAGCAAGCAGGAATGGCATGAATAACAAGCTGTTGAAGTCTGAGATTCGAATCTACTTGGGAACAATCGCAAGCTCAGCATCTTTCAGCTGAATTCAAGTTCAGAATTGGTTGTGTATCCAAACCCTACTGGTAAGCAGGGGAGAGGAAGCCTGGGAGGGCAGAGGGAGATGATTATAGTAGGAGATAGTTAACAGCAGGGCCAGTAATGAAATGAAATGAAATGCCATTTCTACATCGCAGGCCCTACTGTGAATCATTTCCAAGTCAATGGAAGCAAAAAGGCAGCACACCCAAATCTTGCCAATTTCCCCCAAATACGTGAATTCCGATCAAATGAACTTGCAGACAGAGAAGACTACTGCATATAGGCAATGATCATATTCATGGCCCCAGTTCATAGGACACTTACTTAGCTTGAGGTTAAGGTTAACCATTAATTTTTATACTGGCTCTAACACCTAAGATTTACACAAAGCGTCAACCCCAAGAGTCATGAGGTAATTGCCACAGATCTAATAAGAGGTCACATTTCCCGTAAAGGTAGTGAATAGGCAGCAGATAATGAGAAATTAACATGATTTAGTGATTAGAAAACCCCTGCCAAGTACAAAGATAATTTTTCAGTTTAATTGCCCTTTTGCTAAAAATAAAGCTTAGTTGATCTATACAGGTACACCCCTCAAAATAACCCCAAACCTACTGCCAGCAAGTCAATTCTGACTCACAGCAACTCGACGGGGCAGAGTAGAATGGACCCATAGGATCGCTAAGGGTGTAGATCTATATGGAAGCTGACAGCCTCATCTTTCTCCTATGGAGTAGCTGGTGGTTTTGAACTGCTGACCTTGTGATTAGCAGCTTCACCATGCCCATATATTTCCCTCTCCATTTTTCTAGCCCAGGTTCATGAAATTTTACCAAGCAATCTTGTTCAGAATCTCAACTCTGAGTAGGATCAAATGCCACTGGTAAGAATGCCGTCCCAGGCATTCCCATAGAAGTAGGTGAGCCAAATGTGGCTTCCAGAAATTGGTACCTGGAGACTGCATGAAACATTAGCCATCTGTTAAGCCTCAAAAACAAGTTAGCAGCACTGAAGACATGCAACCGACTTTGCCATTCTTACTCGAGAGCCAACTACACACAGCACCAGACATGAGGGGGGAGGAGGCCATGCAGTGCTCACAGAGAATCGGAGAGGGCACCACTACCTGGAGGGTCTGAACTTGCTGGCCTGAGGCGGATGCCACCTGGGCCTCAGTCTGCAACTGGACAGCAGTGACACCACCCTGCTGCTGAGAACAGGAACAGGAAGAGCTTGAGATGTGGCAAGAAGGAAATGTATAGTTCAAGATATGAGACCGCCTTACCTCTTTAGATATGAGGAGAGTCATCTTCGGAAATACCGCCCTATGCAAGACTTTCAAAACTATACACACTCACCAGTGGCATCATTAGGGTGTGCCGACCCCACCGAGTGATGCCAAAATGACTGTAACAATGTTATGCAGTGGTTCAGCACAAACTTACTGTTTTATAAGCATTCGATTTTTTGTAAACCCCGCTTGTATATATCAATAAAGGAGCTTCTAAAATGTCATGTAAATTTCATCTCAAAGTCCCTTAAAGAACTACCAAGCTAAAAACCATGCTGATCAAGTTCTTAACCTTCCTACTGTGTTCTGGTCGGCGGTGTCCTTTGAGTCGTGTGGGTTTTTCTGTATGTGCTACAAGAATGCACTGCTCTTTTCCCGGATACCACTGTTTTTATAGGCACTGACCTTGCCCTGGACGGTCCTTATGTGTCAACATCGACTCGATGGCAGTGAGTTTGTTTGTTTGAAATCTTGTCAAATTTTATGGTGGTTTATTGACAATATTGGGGTAATTACTATTTGTGAACCTGTATCAACGTTTTTGAGAATGTAGTAGTAATTAAAATAAAAGGAGAAAAAATGTTAAAGGCTCCCACCAAGTTACTAATAATGTCATGAAAAATGCTGTTTAATGCAGAGATCTTACAAGATAATTTAGTATTCATATAATTTTTAAATGTTACATGTAAGCAATTAACACTTGTGTTACTTCATTTTATCTCACAATTAAAATTTATAATAAATATTAAAGATTCTATGAGCCTTGGTGGGCTGCAAACCACAAGATCAGCAATCTGAAAGCACCAGCCACTCCTGGGGAGAGATAGGACTTTCTCCTCTGTCCTACAGGCTCACGGTGAGTTGGATTGATTGGATGGCAGTGAATGCGTTTAGAAGGATTCTGTCTGGGCTGGTATGGGAAGAGATTCCATAGGTGGAGGATCTGACACTGTGGATTTACCTAGTGTGACACCAACCCTAGGAACAGCGTGGTGACCACTACACGACAGCCATTTAGCTGAAGGCAGCAGTATTGAAGACATTAGCTCTCTGTTCCCAGTGGAATAAAGGGGAAGTCAAGACACACTTCCATGACTCAAAAGGGCCAAAAAAGTTATTATTATTAATGCAGCCCTTCCCTATAAAGGCAGGTGATCCTTTCTTTTGCTTAGTTATTCTAATGCTTTTTTCATTTCCTCAAATGAATTCCCAAGAATACAGTTATCAGGTTTGAAGTATTTCTAAGGCCTAAGAAGGGAAGAACTGAGGTCACTGCTCTTATATCCCCAAATGAAGATTATTTCCACCCAACCGAACTGCCACAACAGTGGTATTTTCAGTGACTCAGTTTGATTTTCACATCCTCCCCAATGGTAGGTTTGGGGACAGATCCCAAATTCCCTCACCAGCCAGAGCTCTGCCTGCCCTGATTGGAGGGCCCTTTATGGAAGTCTCACCTCTGAAAGGACGGATGAAGCCAGCTGCCAGAACCACAGCAGCCAAATGGGCGGCAGAGTCCGCAAGATAGATTAAAATGGTTTTTTGTTTTGCGGGGGAGGGCTAAAATAAGCCCAGACATAAATAAAACAGAAAACATAGTCAGATATAAATTCAAAAGCACAACCTATCTTAGTTTGGGATAAATGAGCAGCAGGGAATTCCTTTGAAGTATATGCTTATCTAGTATCTAACCATGACTGTTATGTTAAATCAGAAGTTTTCACAATAGGCACTGTGGTGGCTACCTGGGTTTGTTTATTGTGGCCAAGCACTTACTCAGCTCTAGCACAATCAAGAGAAAGAAGCAACCACATTGTGTTTAGGGTAAGAAAAAAGAAAAGCCACACAGCTCCAAGAGTCTACCTGAAAACATTCTAGGTGCTTTGACTTCTAGTGACAGAAAGGGGTACTTTATTATTAAGTCAGCCCCCCCCACCCCCCAAAAGAAGAAAACAGATCCTACGTGGCCATGGGCTGGAGAGAGTTCTAAACAGAGGGAATAGAAGGGCAACCACAATAAACCCGCCTTCAAACAATACACTTCGCCCTAGTCATCAAAGCTCGGTATTTGACAAGATCAGGCATCTCTCAGGTCATCCCCCCGGCCCGCCAAAGTACCAGACCAGCCAGCTGAGTGGTGCTGTTGCCGGCTCCATTGCTGGGATGTTTAACGCAGTGCTACCCCATGCCATACCTGCTGCTGAATCTGTCCAGCCTGCACGACGATCTGCTCCGTGGAGCTGTTGCTGTTTGTTGTGTACTGCTCCATGTTAGACCGCCACCCACGGGGAGCTTGGCTCTGAGGAGGCTAAAAGACCACGAGCTGCACTCCTGTGAGAAAGGGTAGGAGGGAGACTAAGTGAGAACGGCAATAAAGGCCTAGCCTAGCTGGTAATTAACACTAATAAGGGTATTTTGCTTATACGGAAACAGGATAAAAGAATAGCACATCTTGGTGTTTAGTATCATTTGAAGCTTTGATCACAAAGGGAAATCATAACAAAGATCTGGTAATACTATTTTCAAAATGCTCTTAATCTTTTTGGGGGGCAACCTTACTCAGTACTAACAGACCATTGGTCTTTAAAAGGCTAGGCTACAACATTGCTTTGTTATAGGGTTTACTTAACCCTGAATTCAGGTCAATACTTTTACTTTAGAGAGCAACTTGTTTCTTTTCTTCTTAAGATCATTTTACTGGGGGCTCTTAAAACAATCCATACACCAATTGTATCCAGCATGTTTGTATGTATGTTGCCATCGCTATTTTCTTGACATTTACATTCTATTTGAGCCTTTAGCATCAGCTCCTCTTTTGAAGACCTTTGTGACCCCTTGATAAATTATAAATCCCTATTTTCCCATTTTACACTGCCGGCTGTCTCCCTTCCCTAGCGGTTCCTTCACCCTCCTCTCCACACCTTCCCTCTACTCTTCTGGTATCGTAATCCCATTTCTTTTCCTGAGGGGTTTATCTGACCTGAATTCCATGTGTCCTGAGCTCTTTATCTATACCTGTGTACATGCTCCAGCCTAACACGCAGAGAAAGGCAGGATTGGGGCCAGGAGAGTGGGGGTTGGAGGAAGCCTCAAGGAATCAGACTCATGCCCCCTTTCCTGTGACCCTTCTGTGAGGGGATGTCCCGTTGTCTACAGATGGGCTTTGGGTCCCTGCTCTGACCCGCCCTCGTTCTCAACAATGTTTTTTGTTTGTTTGTGGTCTTCTGATGCCTGTTACCTGATCCTGTTGACACCTCATGATCGAACAGGCTGGTATGCTTCTTCCACGTGGGCTTGTTTCTCTGCTAGATGGTTGCTTGTTTAACTTCAAGCTTTTAAGGCCCCCAAATGCTGTATCTTTTGAAAGCCGGGCACCATCAGCTTTCTCCACTACATTTGCTTGTGTAACCACTTTGTCTTCAGCACTTGTATCAGGAGGGTGAGCACCACAGAATGCCAGGTTGCTACAACAAAGTGTTGTTGCGTTCAGAGAGGGCTTAAGCAGAGGCCCAGAGTCCATCCACTTCTTCAATGTATTGCCATATCAGTTTAGGTACCTATGCCAATACCTCTATTTTTATGAATTAGTATATTTACATAAGTGCACACCTACTGTTGGGTAGCTGAATAGGGGATTGTTCCTCTATGCCAAGCTGTCCCCTAAAGGAGGTTGCTGCAGAGAATCAGACAAGCCCAGCCAGCCATAAAGGATAGAGGGCATGCACAAATTTAAGACTTTGAGACAGGAAGCCAGTACACTTGGGAGGACCCCAATCTGGGCCAGGGGGGCTTAATTCAGCCAATGGGGTCAACCAGTATTATGGAAGCCAGAGCTTCGAGACACCTCTCCCCCTTTCTCTGGCCCCTCAGGGCATTGCACACCCGCACGTGGAGTTAGGGGCCAGTGGAGTTAGCCTGAGATTTCAGGGCTCCCGTTTCCTTCTCTCCCTTCCGGCAGAGTGAATTCTCTGGCTCCCTGCTAGAGTGAATCCCTCGGGGATTCCTCTTTTTCTTCTCTCTGGCCTGGCTTCTTTGCAGCGAACTTAATAGCTAGCAGTTTGAAACCACCAGCTGCTCCTTGGGGCTTTCTGCTCCAGTGCTCACAGGGGCAGTTCTACCGTCTGATAGGGTCGCTGAGTTGGCATTGACTCAATGACAGTGAGTTGGGTTTCAGTGTTTTTTATATCGACAAGAGCCCTGGTGGCAGAGTGGGCTATGCCTTAGGCTGCTAACCTCAGGGTAAGCAGTTGAAAGCCACCTAATGCTCCTAGGGAAAAGATGAGGCTTCCTACTCTGCACTGCCAGGGCTCCTCTGAAGTATGTGGTATGTAGTCATGAATAAGAAACACAATGGCATGCAGTTTTTCTTCCTCTTGGATCTAAGTGGATCTAACTTGTTAAGATCATGTACCAATTTGTGGACATTTTAAACCCACTGAAGGGTTAAACACCCCCAATCCCAATACCACCAACACCACAAGTAGCTTCCAATCAAGTAGCAATTCTATGGTAATGAAGAAGTCATTCAACTTGGGATCTGAAAGCAGCCTTTCAACAGCCATGTTCTTTTTACTATGAACATTGCTTAGCTGAGCTGCAGCAATCTGGAGCTCTTCTGGACCAAGTTTCCCACCAGATTAAGTCAGCCCGACTTAGCCTGTCTAGCTTTTGCGTCAAACACAAAGGCCTGAATGTTTCTTTTCCTCAAAGAGAGACAGGCAGACAAACACAGTGTGTTTATTTTGGCTAGCATGAGAATACTCTGCAGAGCCTCTGCCTGCCTTTCAACACACATAACCAACCACTGGGAGCCCTTTCTATAGGGACCTCCATCTTAAAGCAAAAGTGTAAAGCATGGGTTCCTGTATTTGACAATGACTAACAGGAGGAAGGAGCCCCAAGTTGGCACAGTGATTGGCTCAGCTGCTAACCAGAAGGCTCAAGTCTGTGCAGACTACTCAGAAGATTTGGTGCTCTATCTACTTCTGAAAAACCAGCCAACTTGGCTTTGACATACATGGTGTCAACCATTAGTCAGAAACGACTCATGTGGGTACTGGTTATCAGGTAACGGCTAGAACAGTAGTTCTCAAATGCTTAGTAAGAAACACATTTCCTAACCTGTAACTGAAACAAAGTTTATCCTTATGCAGCATGAGATGCACCTTGGCGTTTGCTATTCTACCATAAAATATTAGTATCACTAAACTGATCCTAAACTGTCCAGCAAAGACTAATCTGGAGAACAAAGAGCTGTCCAGTTTTTCCCATCCTCCTATAGAGGCTTCTGGATTGGAGCTCCGTAATTTGTCCCTTTTCTCCCTGCAAATGACGTGCTGAGTACCCAGACACTGTCCTAAATGGTTAAAGAATAAAAAGAAAATCCCGACCAGGATGCCATCTTTGAAGTGTTTAAGTTTATTAAAGGATTAGTAAAAACCTGTAATGGAATCCAAGAGAAAACAGGTATGTGGCAGTCTGGAGAACAGAGTCCTTCCAACAGCGATAAATCAAAGAAGGCTTTAGGGAAAGAGAGGCTTGGAGGTGTAGTGGGGGAAAGATGAGACTTCCTGCTCTCATAAATCATTACAGTCTGGGACACCTACAGGGACAATTCTCCTCTGTCCTACAGGGTCATGATGAGTTGGAATTGAGCTGATGGCAGTGAGCTGAGTTTGAGTCATTTGAACTACTTTAAGTATGAGAAGAATTTAATATATGACGATGCAGGAGGGGAGCAGCTTAAACCACAGACTCAAGGGGTCCATGCCAACAGCAACTAGAGGCCAGGTAACACACACAAGCCCCCCACGGAAGACCAGATTCCGGCTCACGGTAACCGCAGGTATTAGAGGAAAGTTGCGTTTCACAATACAGTGACCGCCTTTCAGAAGCACAGCACCAGGAGTCTTTGGGTTTTGTCCTCCAACCTGATCGCTGAACACTTAGGAGCCATTAGCAGCATAGCCCAGACTACTTTCTCAAATACCAGGCTTCAGTAAGTTCTTCCACAGAGAGAGGTCTAGAGGTGGTTGATAATGAAATAACCAAGCAAACACAACTACCCTTGTTTGCTGGTTTCAATGTGCCAGATGTACCATCATTAAATAGGCAGACTATCACATCAATTCCAAGGGCATTTTATTTATTCTTGTATATTTTTAATAGTTCAATCATATCAAGGGTTGTACGATCATTACCACATCAATTTTAGAGCACCATGGTTGCGTCATCTTTCAAATGAGTTGCACAATCACAATCAGTTCTAGCGGGTCCAACAGCATTTTAAACACAATTTTACACAGAGCATTATTTTTCTTTAAAGTCACACTGCCATCATTAATATGGATCATGTATATATTCAAATTTAGAAAGTTACTGAGACAACAGCAACAAAACACATGTTCCAAAAAGCAACAACAAAACTGTCCTTCAAAAACAAAACAACAAAACCATCCTCCAAGTCTCAGTAGTGAAAAGACCACTGGACTAGGCGTCTTGTGAAACATCTGATGGTTATGACCTGAGTTTAAGTGTGATGATAAAACAAAGGCACCAGGAAGTGGAGACCTACTCTAGCTGCCAGGACTGCACCAGGTGCTTAACATAGTGTAAATAATTTTTTTAAGTTCCAAGAGAGAACTCTTCTCTTCTTCCCCCAAAGAAGCCAGTCACTGTGATGGGATGCAACTGTCAGAAACTTGTTTTTCACTCTCGGGAAGGAGGGGGACCAAAACCCAAATCTTTTCTACTTGAACCTCCAGACAGGTTCCAAAACTGCTTCTTAAAAAGTCCTCAGCAAGACAGATATAGGGGCCTTCCACCAACCAGGCTTTCCAGCCCAAACTCTCCTACTGCCCAGGCCTTCTCTGCCAGCATTGCTCTTCCCTCCATTCTGTTTGCTCTGCAGAAACCACACCATTCTTCGCGGCCAATTACAGGGTGGCAGCGGGAACCTTAATCGAAGCTGGTGACACCTCATGCACCAAGTGCTTTCTCGGGAGCTTGGCTCCTTTCCAGCACTAACCGTTTAAGTATTGATCGTTCATCTGGCCCTCTCCAGCAGGCGGGAGTGTCTCGCATTTACTTTTACCCACTCCCTCTCCCCATCTCATGGATCGAAGATACCGGGCACAGACTAACTGCTGCCAACCGAGGAGCCCTTACACCCCAAAGAACTCTGCACGCCACTTTCCACTCCATCGCCACCTGATGAGAAACCGCTACCGTGGGACTAAAAGAGGGTACCAGAAAGCACAATGCAGGCCCGCTAGCCGTGGCCTCCTAGTCAAACCCGACAGCTGAACCATCCAGAAAGAGGGAAGACTGGTCTGCTCCCAGGGGAGGGCAAGAATAAGCGCTGGGTGACACGGATAGGAAATGGGTGCTTGATGGGCAGCCTCGGCGAGGTGGGGGGGACAATCTTCCAAGAGTGCCGGTTTCTGGCACCCTGGGGTAGGTTTTACAACCTGGGCAATAAAGGGAGCCCGTTAGGTCGGGTTCCCAGAAGGAGGGGTGCAGGGCGGAGAGCAGAGGAAATGACGAGCCAAAGGGGGTGGGAACGGCGTGGGCCGGGGACCCGGGCCAGCGGGCCGGCCGGGAGGAGGGGCGCGGCAGGCCGTGGGCGCGCTCAGATCCCCCTCCCCGGCCAGGGAAGCGGCAGGGGCGGGCCGACCCCGTTTCCCCGCCGCGCTCCGGCCCGGGGACCAAGGCGTGCGTCTTCTCCAGGGCTCTCTGGACCTCGGGGGCCTGTGGACCTCCAGACCGGGCTTCACCGTGACCCTGGGGGGAAGAGTTCCCGTCCGGAGAGTTAGCTGAACGTGCAGCGTGCAAAGGCAGGCGAGAATGAGGAGGCCGCGGCGGCCAGGAGACAACCGCTGTAGCCCAGGGCGCGTGTGGACCTCAGCGCAGGGGCTTTTCGTGGCGCGCAAGCCAAGCCCTGGGCCTGGGACTTGACAACCGGGCCTAAGGGTCCGGGGGAAAGGGATGCACCCCCGACTGGCATTGGCTCCCTGCAAGGGTCGGGACCCCGGAGGTGGTCTGCTCCCAAAGGCGCCATCCCGGCCGAGGGCGGCCCCCTGCAGGCCTAGGCAGGGAGTGTCCGGAGGCGCTCGGAGGCTCCGGGCCGGGGCCTCAGGCCGCCCGGCTCGGCTAAGCTCAGCTCGACTCCCCGGGCTCGACGGGCGCCTGGGCCTCTCCTGAGTGGTCAGCAAGACCCGCCAATCGGGGCGCTGGGGCCGGCTCTGGGCCGCTGGATATTGGCTCCTCACACTCACCGGGTCTCGCTCCCCCGGTTCGCTGCCCGCGCTGATTGGCTCCAGTACCGGACCCCGAAACCCAATCAGAGGCTCCAGCCGCCGCTACCGCCGCCACTGCCGCTGCCTCGCAAAATGGCGAACTCGAACAAAGGGGAATCGGGCCTCCCTCCAACCGTCTCCGCGCAGGCGCCTCTAAGGCCACACCCCTTAGCTCTAGTTCTGGGCCCACCCCGCCCCCATGGGAAGAGCACTGCGCAGGCGTCGCCCGAAGCCACGCCCACCCCCCTGATTTGACACTTCCCGGGCCGAAAGAATACGCAGGCGCCTTCGCGACGCGAGGGACCCACGCCTCACTGCCCGGAACCCAGCACTACGCAGGCGCCAACGGACCCAGGACCCAGCTGTCGGTCCCCTTCTGTGCGGCCACTGGAGACACACCCCTAGTGCTACTGCGCAAGTGCGGCTCTTCCCTAAGCGCGCTCCGCTTTCTCTTTGCGCATGCGCGGGCGGCGGCGGGCGCCTGGGCTGCATTTATCGCCGGAAGTTAGCGGCCATCACCAGAGAGCGCGGGCCCGGCCAGCTAGAGGGGCTGGTTTCCGCCCCGCTACCGGGTTGTGGGCGGCCATCTTAGGTGCGTACCCGTAAAGGGCACAGCGGGATTGGTTCCGCGGCCCGGCTTGCCCCTTGCTCCCCACCTACCAGGGCCGGATCCGGGTCTCTTCCTCGCGGGGCGGGGAGCTCTAGCGGCCGTGAGGGGGGACCCCGGTAACGTTGGGGCCGTGCGGCAGTTTCCCTCCTCCCACAGGGCAACCCCAGGGCCGGCCCTCCGCTCTCGCTGGGCCGCCGCCGCAGTCGGAGGGGAGGCTTCCCTAGAGGCTTGGCTTCGCCTCTCCCCCGCCCCCAGCCCCCCAAAAGGGTGTGAAACTTGTAGCGAGGTCGCGTTTCCTCTTCCTCTGCTTGCAGCGCCGCCGGCCCCGGCCCGAGCCCGGCCTTGCCGCCGTTTGGTGACTACGCAGGCCCGTCCCTGCTTCTAGGTGCCGCCCACTGATGAGCTGCTTTAGCTTTGGGCCGAGAGAGGGGG